TCAGTCTGTGTGATCTTCTTGCAGCAGCTAACCAGGTGGTCCACTGTTTCTTCAGCTTCTTTGCAGAGGTGGCATTTCCTGTCTGTTGCTGTCTTCTCTATTGCTGCTGTTGTTGTTATACTGGTATGCCCTTATATCTCAATACAGTACAAGATCTATTTTTCTCCCACAACAACCCCAGAGAGATTTATGCTCAAGAAATCTTGCACTTTATTGATTTTAGAGTATTAATTGAATGGATTAAATTTCCAAGGTACCTCTGAGTTTATTGTAAAAGCCCTCTCCCTCTGTTGGAAGACTTACTCATATTATGGACTTCTTGTTTTAACGATTAATGGGAGGCAGTTTATTCATCATGGGAATTAAGGAAGGACTGTATTAAAAATGTTTTCCAGACAGAGAAGAGTACCTGATGGTTTAAATGAGAACAAGATTTCAAAAACAGTATCTAGCCTCAGCCTGAAGTCTGAAGATAATGAACGCAATCCAGATTCAATGAGAGAGTGCTTTGTGCCAAGGCATATGTATCCAATGTTCTCTTTTGCTGTTCTATTTCAAAATTCAGATCATATTAAAATATACAGTTTAAGAAACGTCATTGGTGGACTAGTTAAACTACAGATGGCCCTCACCTGTGGAACATTGGGCAATTGAGACACACTGAAGTTACACAAAGCACTGAGATGCTTGAAAATCTAGGCCGAATAGCTTCAGCATACAGCCCTACCTTGTCTACTACTGTATAAAGCACAAGCACAGGAGACACCAAGGGTGTTGAAAGGCAAATTTCAGATTTACTTTGATGACAAAAGGTTCTTACAAGCAAGATGGGAAATGAGATTGACTTGTAACCTTGGAAGAGGGGTAGGAGCACAAGGCGGCACAAAGGAAGCAATGAAAGAGATTATGATGTTTCTAACTATAGTCATTCCCTGAACAGTTGTTGGTGATAATATATACATCCGGACATTGGTAACCTAAAAATAAATTATTCCAGTGCGAGCCACAGGTTATGGAACTGAGCCTCTTGATGTACTCTCAGTCAGTAGCTTCACATTGCAGTCATCCTTTGAAGACATCTGTTCAGGAATAACTGTTTTACAGCAACCCTACAGTAGTGTTCTGTTAATAGAAAGGGAGGGGAAACTTGCCTTAAATCAATCTGGTTGCAGTTTTTTTCCCTGGTAATTGAAATGGTCATCTGTCCCGAAGCTGTTATCATTGCAGTATTTTTGCTTTATTGCTCTCAGCAACACTATTCAGTTTCTTCTGTGGGTGACTAGTGCCCATAATTTAAATTCTCATGTGGAAGAATCATCATAGAAGTTCTGCACAACTATCAGAGAGCAGCTAAAGGATGTGTGTGGTGTCTATAAAAGCTGATTTCAGCCTATAGCATCACAGTATAGGCTAACAGCTGGAACAATTGCAAGACTTCTCCTTGTTCACCTCCAAGGCGCTTTGAAGGAACAGAATAGGCTTTATGGGAGTTGCTGGATCATATTTCTAAGGTGCCAATGGCTAGAGCTTCTTATTCCAGTCAGCTAGTATAGCTCTATTTGTATAACCAGTTATTTTGATATTTCTTTTAACTTACAGGTCTTGTATCCTACCTGTGATTTTATGGTGATCTGTGTTGTAATTTCAAGCAGCTCCTATGGTAATTTATTAACACCTATGGAAAAAGTACTTATAGTGACCTCCACATGACCATTAGAATTGCTGTAGACCAGTGCTTCAGATCCTGGGGGGCTTCTAAGGGCACTCCCACACCAGTTTCAATTTTGAAGTTAATCTGCAATCCACTTCACATCTGTCAGCCTCAAAATGCTAGATCACTAATCTGTGCTCCCTCCAGTTGACCAGCCAGAAAGGACACCCTAGAGGTACACAAATCCTTTCAGTCTTTTTGGTACAAAAGGAGATGCACTGATATTACCCCCTCTATTTTCTGTTGCCTGATGTACACAAACACACACATCTGCAAAACAAATGTGCAGTTGCTATCAGGGACAACTCCAAAATCACCATTCCTCTTTTGTTGTGATAACACAGCTTGTCAGCTTGAACCCAGTAGTCAAAAGCTGCATGAGACCCACCACTAAGAAACGGTATTTAGTCCAATTTTAGAAACACATTTTAGTACAATGGCAGAAATGTCATACTTTTTTGTTGGAAAACATGGGCGTAAAATGGGATGATTAGTCAGATAATGTAACAATACCTTTGAAACTTTTGGATTTTACAAAACGAATCTAATTTGCCTTAAATGGCTGAATGGCACTACAGGCAGCCAGAACACTTGTTACTTTTATTATTTGGCCCTGAACCTCTTCTGCCTGCAGAAACTCTGGAGGCACTAACTGTATCGCCGAAAAACTTTATTGAGACTCAACCAACAATTCGGCTATTTGAAAAATATTCCATGTCCAAGGTATGTAACTGATCCAATGCCAGCTTAATAGATCCAACAGGATAACATGCATCCAAGCCTCATTTCTAGTATATCATCTTGATGTGTCTTTTTATTTCCAGTTCTAGCTTCCTACATTCGGATTTATGCTTTTTTTTTCCTCCAGAAGACTTAAGGTGCTTACGGTGAATATTTGGAAAAAAATGTCTGCATCTTTTTTTTTTAACTGCTCAACAAACTGAAAGTCTTCCAACAAGCAAGTATTAAAACGCTCTCTCTCATTAATTTTTTAAATTATTTTATCCAAACTAAAAGACATGGCATGTGATCAGAAATTACAACTGAGTATTACAGTTTTCAACTTAATTACTGTCAATGGTGATATTAAAAAAAATAGCCTAATTTTAAATATGTGCTCTGCAGGATAGATAAAAATGTGTACTCTTGCTTGTTTGGGTTAAATTGTGTCCATATGTCCATTGAATTAAATTCCTGGATGTATGCATGGAGAATATTCCAACTCTAAAAAGACTTTTTTCCTTGAAATCTTATTACAACCCAGTAATGGATCTAGGATTAAAGTCCCCAGCAACAATTATCTGGTCAATTTTAAGTCAAACAGATTTGTGAAACAATTATGGTTTTTCATTAGTTGAGCCATAAAAATATATCCAGCATTAGCCACATTTAACTATCAAAATCATTTAATATTATTCAGGATCTAAAAACTTGTGTTTGACTATTAAATTAGATGACATTTTAACTGAAATCACTTCAATTTTACCTATATAAATCTGATCAAAAGTAATTTCCAAAAGATATTTCTCATCTTGGAGAAAATATTTTTCTTAAAAAAAAAGATACTTTTTTTTTTACAGATTAAGACTCCATCATCTTAATCTGTAAAAGATCCACTTTTGTTTAACTTTAGCATTCCCTTTCACAAATGTACTCATCAAATCTAAATAAGGCTTAGCAAAAATAATGAAGATTGTTAATAATTTATTTTAATTTCAATTAAAACAATTAATTTTTAAAATTTAATTAAAATAATTAAAACAAATTCTCTTCATCGATAGGATCGATAGGCCTACTGCTAAGTCTAGGCATATCAGCATTGGGATATCTTCCAAAGAATTAAATCTTCAAGACAGGTAATAAAACTATAGATGTTGAAAGAATTCACTTTATTGCAGCTTGCCCTATCAAGCCCAGTGTGGACTCAAAAAAGAAGAGAACTCTTATCTCCCCCATCAAAAGATGTGCTTAAGTGGCTTTGTATTACCTTACAAAGCAAAATAAGGATCATACAGAATGCTGTACAGTAAAAATATTATGAATATATTCCTAGCATTTCATAAAGCACTGATTATCTTTTATGGCCAAAAGAAGCAAGGAATCATTTTACCCCTTCAACACTTGAAAATGTGAGGAAATTCAAAATATTGAAAAAAATTCATTTTAGCTGATGAATTTTACAGGAAAGTATTGATTCATATAATTATTTTAAATGAATAACCATTCTTGTGATAGGCTCTTTTCCAGACCCTGCCCCTTTGCTATGACAGACAAGTAGCTCTGTATGCTCCAGTAAATGTCTCTTAAAACTTTAAAATCAACACTATACAATAGGTATAATTATGGATAATAGCACCTCCTTGTACATAAAATAGAAAAAAGAAAACCTACAAAAAATGTATCAGCTGAAATGTAACCAGAAACTTTTAGCAAAAAATGCTGACTGATACAAATACAAATTTAAATAAATAAATAAATAAGAAAGATACATTATTAAAAAAAGAAATGGCAGGTGTTCACTTTGTCAGAAAAGGAAAATCACCCGAGTTTGAAATATTCTATTCATTTTTATTGGGTTATTAAGAGAGAGAATCCAAATCCAGTCCAGAATCATAATTCACATAACATCGAAATTCATTAGCTAAATTTCGAGCATGTTTTGGAATAAACTTGCACATCTTCACACCAAGATACTTGGCAGCATATTCCTCCATGATTAAACCTGAAAACAAAACAAAATTTAGAATACTCCTGCTGGATCAGAACAGGGTTTTATCTATTTTCAGTTATGGTCTATCAGATGCTCTCAAGAAGCTCCTAAATTGGATACAAAAACAAAAATTCTTTCCTGATAGATATTTCCCAGAAGCTGGTGTCCACAGATAAACCACTACATTCAGAGGCAGCATCATTCATGTGTTATGATAAAGCTATCAAATAATGCAAATTCTCCTTCTCAAACTACACCTCCAGGACTTCTGTTTTTTTCACCTTATACTATATCATTCACTGCGGGGAAGAACTGATTAGTTCCCAAATCAGAAGAAATGGGACAGTTTGAAAAAAATATAATCCAAAAAGGAATGGGCAGTGTTGGGCTTCAGAGGTTAGTTGCTGGCGAAATGTCAAGAAATCTGGTCTCTGGACCATGGTTACTAAACCCTGAAGCCCAACACTGCCCACAGATACCAGCCATGAAAACCTACACTAAAAAGTAATATTTGTTCTATTGTATGATTGAAACACTTCGTAGAGCTTTCTTTTAAACAATAAATCAAATACACTGTATTCATAGATTAGCCATAGCACATCCACCATACCTGAATACACAACAGGACAAATATATACATGTCTCAGGTGAACTAGACCATGCTTTGAAATTTGTTCCAAATGCCGCTTGATTTCTTAAATCCATCTTCATTACTAGCTATATTCTTTGAGTTAATGCTAATCCTCTGAACCTTTACTACCCATTGCACTTTGATATTTTTGACAATGGTGTTATTTCCCTGTACTTCCTCCCCTTTTTACTTTCCCCCCAAATAGAGAGAGAAAAAGATTATAGAACAATGCTGTTGGTCTCTGCTGGTCACCTTTAGTACACCAATGACAGGTGAAATATTTAATTACAGGTAGTCCTTGTTTAGTGACCACAACTGGCACCAGCAACTCAATCGTTAAGCAAAGGAGTCACTAAGTGAAACTGTGACTGTGGTTATGAACTTACTTCACCTTTTCTTTGCTTAACACACCTACGAAGGTTGTAAATGTCAGGATTGTTCATAACGTTACTTTTTCGTCACAGTTGTAACTGCAAATGGTCACTAAACAAGGCAATCGCTAAATGAGGACTACCTGTAGCTTTATCAGAACATTCTTTAAACCCACAGAAACTTTATTATTATAGATTTGCATTATTCAAAATAAGATGTCACAAATGGCTACTGTTTTCTTTCCAAAAACTACTGAAGCAAATGCATTCAAGAAAACAAGAGATATACCTGTACACAGCAGAATCTTTCCTTTAGTTAAGTATTTTATGGTTTCTGCTATTTTTTTGAGACATTCTTCAGATAAGTATGGTGGATCTGCTAAGACAATATCAAAACTATGTGCTTCAAGGTGGGTTGGAAGTTCCAAAGGACTGTTGTAATCATAGAAAATATACTCTGCTCCATACATAGAAAATCTTTGGTCATATTCCAAAATGCAGGTCGAAAAATCTTGGCTGTCCTGCTCTTTGAGTTTTTGATACACACTAGGGGCACTGACACAAGCTATCCTGCAGGGATAATGAAGCAAGCACAGAAGTTATTTAATACATCAAAATGTTTAATTCACATCTTCTCCTGCATATAAGCATTTAAATATTTACTTGACCCCATGAACATCATTCTTGTTCAATTACACACCTGCCAATTTTTTTTTCTCCCCAAAGACAGGAAAGTGCTAATTTGAAATAACTGAATGTATTCATTGCACAGTGCAACCTTGTTCTTGGGTGAATATGCACAGTATTGCAACCCAAGTTAACTTTACAAACAACCTTCCACTCAAAAAGTAACACTACTGAATAAACAGCCTGTCCATCTATTCTATAATAGGGCAGGATCAAACAGGCATGGCTTCCTGAAAATAAGCTGCTTCTATTTCTAGCATTATTATAAGCACACCTCTCTTGTGTGTGGTTTATGCATATGCAAATGTAAATACTTTTTAAAGAAATATTACTAACCTCAGAGTTCTGTGCAGCAAAAAAAGCTGATTGGGCTAATAAAGGCAGGAGTCTGTATAGGGGGTAGGCGGTCACAAATTTACGATGGCGGCCCTGATCACATGATGGAAGCCCCATTTTTTTACGCATGTAAAAGCGTGCAGGGGCTTGATTGTATTGTCATAGCTACCATATTTACTTTTTTGACCTGCCCTTGCTCAGACACCCCTGAATAAAGCTCTGGATTGAAATTCTTCTATGGATTATAAACTCATTAAAAGACAAATCTCAACCTCTTATCTGTAAAATGGAAAAGGAGGTTATTGTGAGGAGCTAAAGCTGTTTGTATATACTTGAGAGATCTGTGTAGGAAACTAGTTAGTGATTCTTGCCTCCCATCTGACAGTCCTGTGTCTTAACCACGAACCCTCACAGTCAAAACTGCATTATAGTTTAATGCTCTCAAAAGAGAGGGTTGATAGACGTAGAAGCCAGGATACAGGATGTTTACAAGATAGTCACAATGCTTGGGATATAGAAAGCCAACAGAATTTACCTGCCACCTTTCCCAGCAGCTCTTATGGCCTCATTAGCTAAACAAAATGCTGTTTCAGAATCATACCAAAACTGGCTCAGTTGCTGGAAGGATAAAAAATGCAAATGTTAACAGGATAATTTTTCAGTAACATTTATTGGTAGAAGGCTACTTTTCTTCAACCCAGACGTGGCCAACCAGAGATCCACTTGAGTTGATTTATTCCTAAAGCCTCTAGGAGTCGTAGGGTGTATAGACCTATAGACTCTGCAGGAGACTAGCATAGCATATTCAGCCAATTTGGGGGAGTTTGGAAGTGTTAAGGGCAAAACAACAATGGAATACCATGTCAGGCCTTATTTCATGCACACAAACAAAAGCACACTGCAGAACTTTGGGACTTTAGGAAGTATGCAGCAAAATGGCTGCAAGTTGGGCATCCCTAATTTAGCCAAACAGAAGAAACACAAACACACATAACCTCATACACAACAGAAGGCAGATCAAGCACTAGGGAGCCAGGGCATCTATGGGAGGGTGGGGAGTGTCAGGAAAGTCAAAGTAGCAGATGTGACTTCCATCTTGACTTTTTTGACATGCCCCCCACTCCTTGCGAATGGCCTTGCATGAAACTCATGGCCATACTGTTTACAAATACTCAGCAAAATACATGTCAACTCCCTCTCCCATCCAAAACAAAAAACCAACCTTGATGAAGAATTAGGGGAAAGGAGGAATACAACATGATTTTTTTCAAATACAAGTCTTATGCCTATTATGAGAGGAATATGGTGCAAAGGTGGAGTATTGAATTTGGAGGAAGGGTAGGTGTGATGGGCAAGGCTACTGGGAGTGTATTCTCAGCTATAAGAAAATCTTCATTAAGAACTTTTAAATACTGAATGTGTTAAATAAAAGCTCCTATTAGCTGAGTTCTTCTGGTGAGCTCCCTGTTTTTCTTACCAAACATACAGAAGTGATTTGCCAGTGCCACCTTCTAATTTTATTTTATTTTTTTACTTTCTAGTCTAGCCAACTGTCCTGGGAAATCCTGATGGACTCCTGTCTTTGTACTAACCAGGTCTCATCCTGCTCAATTTTGCTTTGTTGTTTTGAGATCAGCCCTGGTCATCAAAGTACTGCCACCTAAGTTGTTATCAAAGCTGGAGAAGCTATTTTCAAATGCTTCCTTCTAATTCTCTTAAATTTTGGTTAAAATACCAACTTAAAGGACTAGTATCCATCCTGACAGATTAGAGTTAGATGTTGTCAAGACAAAACAGAGATACAGAAAATTAGTTTAGTTTAAATGAAGACTTAATGGTGAGTAGGCACACCACTGAATGATGTTCCCATTCACAAATGGTTCTAAGCATTTTATAATGAATAGGGTGTTTGGGGACTCTACATGTATTTGGCTGAGAATTCTCTGCCTACAGTTCAGATCAGCCAATGGACGTAGAGGATGCAGAATGAGAAACAAAGCTGTACCCACATGATACACCATGTCATATGTAATGGCTACCAAGGTGCACATGTATTGCCACCTTACTCTTATTTTGCACAGATCATTAATCAGTGCTTTATGCTCACTGGAAACTTAGCAACTCCACTTAGCCACTGCAATTTCCATTTATTTGTGGGAACTAGAATTGAAACCTTGTGAGGCTCCTAACGGAAGAGCCACCATTAGCCATATTTTAGTAAAAATGCTTACCCAGTTCTCTTCAATAGAGCCAACAGAGTAACTGTGAGTTCCATCAGTGGTCTTAGCTTCTCTCTGCTGTTGCTCAATACAGAACTCCTGCAGAGCAGCTAAAGCTTCAGATGAAAGCTGAGGAACATCATCGTCACCATAATTCATTTCTAGATATAAATCACAGGAAAAAGAACCTTTTCTCAGCCAAAAGGAATCGGCAAAAGATAAACGAATTAGCTATAAAATTCAACTACTTTGCCATGAAAGGCAAAAGTGGGAGAAACAGATTTTCTGATTTCCTGAATTAAAAACAAAAACAACTAAGTTGTTTTCATTTCAAATACTTGTTTGGCAATACAGGTAATCCTCATTAAGTGACCACAACTGGGACCAGCAACTTGGTCATTAAACAATGTGGTCGCTAAGTGAAATCGTCCCTGCGCTTATGATTTTATGTCAGCTTTCCTTTGCTTTACAGATCTGCGAAAGTCATAAATGCAATGATTGGTCGTAAAGTTACTTTTTCATCACCATTGTAACTTCAAACAGTTGCTAAACAAGGACTACTTGTGGTGCATTACACATTAAAACAGACAGAAAATACTTTGAAAGGAAGGTTACAATGCTTTACTTACAGGAATGACTGTCATAGTAAGCTGTCCTCAAAAGGAATAGAATAAAACAAAATTAATTTGCCCCCTAAATAGGTAAGAATTTATAAATATATGAAATGAAGGTTGGACATGATGAGAGGAAAGAAAGCAGAATCCTACAATACTGGGCTAAAGAGTAGCTGAGAGAGGGATGGTCACAGCACAAAGCACTAATAGGAATGGATCTGGAACACTGCAAAGACTTCAAAAGCTTTTCACTGATTTGAAGGAGGCATCACTGTGATGTTCTCTGGCAGAGTAAAGATACTAAGGGGGCAACAGAGAAGTATTGGGAACCCTAGCAAGACTAAGGTCTAGGAAGTCCTATCTGCCTCCTGCCCCACGTTCCTGCTATCATTCCCCATATCATTCATTTTCCTTATGCACTTTTTTCAAATGTGTAAATATAGAGATCCAAATAGTTTGGTTCAGCTCATCTAAAATAATGATTTCCACTACATCTAAGAATGCTGCTTGGAAACAGACCCTTCCCATATTCTTTCACGTTGAAGGTATCTTTTAATTTTTAAGAAAAAACCACGAAAGTTATTTCAACTGCAATTTGAAGGTGTTAAAAGGGAATGGTTATGTTTCAACTGGATCTCATTATTCTCTTCCAAGTCAGTACAGCACAGTCATCAAGAAAATATGTTTTCATTTTATAAATAACCAGCTGTGTGTATTTTTGTTAAACATACAGTATTTGATAACGAAAAATCCTTTGTGCACTGAAGTCACGTATCCAAAGAGATGCCTGCAGCTATTTCTTTCAAGCAAATTATGCAAATGTTTTAAACAAATATTTCTTGTTTGGTTTATTATTGTTTTGGTCTTGTGCAGCTTTAATGCCAGGAAAAATATTACCAATTCTAATGGAATTTCTTTCAACAACAAAGCATGCTACACATAACATAAGCTTTTGAAGATCTAAATATTAAAACTGTAACAAAACCACAGCCAAGGAAAAAGTAATTATGCACATATGAAAGAAAATAAGATGAGCTAATAAATATACTGCCATGGACACCTGCATATAATTCTGTGTCCAATATTCTTTTGGCTGTTTTGATAATCAGAAGCTCCGAAGGATGGCAAATTTAGAATTTTAGAAAAGGTGACCAATGTGTCTCACTAGGGTTAGGAGGCAGTCACGATGACATTAAGGTCACAAGAGGGGCCCCACAAAGACATGGAGGAAACTTCATACACTATTTCATGAAGGGAAACTGGATGGTCCTCCACATGTTATGGACTAAATTTTCCAGTATCCCTAATGATTGATAATGTTGGCTAGGGAGGATGGGAGTTGGAGTACAACAGCAGCTGAAAGGTCAATCTTCTTCAACTGTACTGTAGCTAAACAGAGATTCTTGCACTTTTTTACCAGAAGGACTATAATTCTCACCTACAACTTCAATAAGACTGCAAGCATGGTCACTTAAACACCAACAATGATTGAGTAAAAGTGACATAAATTGTACTGTATATCTATCATGCTTACAGTTCTGCTGCATGAAAAATAAATTCACGGTAACTTAAAGTAAAGGCCATTAGCAAGAGTCTGGCCACATGGCAGACAGCACATAAAGGAAACTAAAAAGGCTGCCCTACCTTGAAGAGTTTGAGAAGAAACAGGCCACGGAGTTATGTGAGCAGATATCCTCTCGGGCAATGAAATCTCCCCTTGCCGTCTCCCACCCTTCCCCCTGAAACTACTCGCATGGTTCCAGACTTGGGCATTCAAAGGATCTACTCTATTGGGAAAAGTTGTTCTGCCAGCAGACACAGCTCAGTACCTCTGAATGGAACATAATTATGAAATGTAACTTTCCTTATAAAATACCAACCTTCATGAACATTCACTGTATATTAATCACCGTTTACATTTGGAAGGTTCATGGAGTCAGAAGGAAACTCTTAGGCTTCTGAGTCCAACTCCTTGCTCAATGGAGTAATCTACTAAGCATCAGGTGGCTGTCTATATTCTGCTTGAACACCATCAGTGAAAGGGAGCACATCACCTCTAAGTAATTGGTGAAGTTGCAGAGTAACATTCCTTCAGTACATAGAATGCAATTCATCTGGCCCTGGAAATGTAAATTCATTAAAAAAAAAACCCAAGTATTCCTGATGTTATTTCTATCCAGCTGAAATCCTTCTTCTTCATCATCTTGTTCTTCACAGTTACCTGATGAAATAAATACCTTCTTGTTTTAGAGAAGCTTAAGCCATAACAGGAGTTGGTAGCTCTGCCTTTCAGGGTTGTTTTTTTAGTATTTTGGAATCTTCACTAAGGCAGCTACTATTTATTCTTCCTTTTATTTTTAACACACCCCAGAAGCACTTCTTTTGTTCTTAGTTTCACATCAGCCTCAGCTCATTCCAATTTTAATTTTCATTATTTTCAAATTTTTAATTTTCCTGACAATCTCAGCAGTCCTGAGCTACCTGTGTGTACTCAGCCTTGGTGAACTGGCCTCTTTCTACCTTCTAAGTATGTCCTCCTCAGTGTTGAAATCTTAGATGCTTTCTGTGCAGCCATCTGCTTTTACATTTTTTTCTCCCATTGGAATTGTCTGGAATTATACTTCTAGTGTCTTCTTTTTTTAAGAACTCACATCCACCTTGAAGCACATTTCTTCTGCCATGGAATCTGACTTTTCCCTGCTCTGATTTTATTAAAAATCTGTATGTTTTAAGTCCATTGTACACTTCACCTGTAACTTCCACTCTTGTAAAGACAAGGAAAATTGCTGGCATTTCAGGATCACTATGGTGGCATGACAGTAATAAGGCCAAGAGAGCCAATGAGCTAGTTGCACACCTTCCAGATTGCCCATAAAGTAGCAAACTTACAGGTACAAAAGCAAAGTTTGCCGCTAACAGAAAGCCTGGAACTACCACAGAGCCCTGCAGTATCAGTAAGCAGCTGGTCATGCTATTATTTCAGTGGGGCAGTTCAGCTGTCCTGGTGATTCAGTACTGTATTACCCTTCTGAAAGAGCCCACCTAACAGCAGAAAAATAACATCTGGGGCGGAACAGGAGGGGAAGCTAGAGGAAACCTTGTAGCTTTTACACGCCAGGGCAGGAAGTGTGCAAAGGTCCTCTCTCCTGTTCAGTCTTCTGATGCCACCCTGCTGCCCAGACTGAAAGGAGTAACATCGGTCTCCTTGCTCACCAGCATCTTTCGGGGCGGCCTTTGTCCGGCAGGCCGACCCAGTGCCTGCCAGGGTCCGGCAGGGCACCGAGGATGTTACCTAGCCAGGTAATGAAACGTCCGCAAGCAAGCAACCAAGCTCAGAGAGCGCCAAGGACTCCGCGGGCCAACCCAGGCTGCACCGCTCACCTTCCACGCGGCAAACGAATACGGGTGCAGGTTGCCCCAGCCGCTCCGCAAATACACAGACGGCCGCCAGAAGGCAGCCAAGGAGCCCCCGCT